AAAAGAAATGGCATTTTTGGCCCTTTTTTTACACCCTCAATCAAGAAAAACACTTCAATTAATCATAAAAGAATGCAATCATAATAATTGATGGAGAAAACTTAAATGAGCCTTCGTATCGCTATACTTGGCGGTCAAATACCGTGCAGACTTGAGTATATTATTACATCTGAATATTAAACTAATTTAAGATCTCAATGTAATATAAGGCAAGGGTTTACAACTTAACACTCGTCTATTAAATTTGGAAGTGTAGTAGAGGACCGGGATAATTTAAACTCAATAATAGTATTATATTTGACAATGATTTTAAGTTGATGGTAAATGATAGTATAAATGAGACAATAATGTAAATTTCAGAATCACTACTAGATGTTCTTTGGAAACTTATGAAAGGAACAATAAAAAATTCCCTACATAAAAGAAAAGAAAAGGAAAACCAATTAGAGAACACTTTGCTAACATAATTTAAACAGTGTACTACAAAAATAAAATCTAATAATACCATTATATGGCAAAATAATAAGGATAAAATTGATATGAAATATATTGATGAAACAAAAAGAAATTTATATGAAAATAAAATAAATGGTTTATTATTAATATAATGTTGAAAGAAATGAAAAAAGCAATTCTTAGTATTTTGCTCACTTATAAAAAAAATTTGCTGAGGAAGAATTTTTTGAAATTGATCAGGATTTTTTGAAGGAGAAGATAAGTTTTGTAGACCATAATACACTAAACTTCCACAGAAAGAAACAGATACTCATATTTTTGATGACAGTGCAAAATGGTTCAAAGACAGAAATGGCCGGGTTGCATTTGTGTACTGAATATCATGAGTCTGTGATGTCATGAAAATGTTCTACCATTGATAACAAATGTCGAAAAATTAACTAAGTTAGTAAAAAGGAAATTGATGAGTGACAGTCCTGAAATCGAATACCACAATATTGGACCACGCGTTATTGTGGTATACCAACTATCAAGAAGCTGCGATAGGTAGTTGCTGAGAAAATTTCCTACCCTTCACCATTATCGTCGAAAACTTAACTAAGTGGGTAAACAGGAAGTGGATAAGGGACAGATATGATATCGAATCTGTTACGAAAATTTCCTACCATTCACTATTAATGTCGAAAATTTAACTTAGTCGGTTAATAGGAAGTGGATAAGCGACAAACCTGAAATTGTGTCCCACGATATGGGACCACAAGTATATATAATGTATACCAAATATCAAGAGGCTGTTGTAAGTAGCTGCCGAGAAAACTGTTACGGAATTTTTTCTCGCCAATCGCCCGTTATTCACCTTACTATAACCCAGTTTTTGCACCTGTTCAACCCGGCCAAAAATTAATAAATGAAAAACAGGAAATGTGTGAATTTTTTTAAGTAAACATGAATGTGCTCTTTTTGAAAATCACCTGGCTTTAATGGCCAGACTTTATAAGATATATTATTCGGGAAAAAATCTTTCCTGACAGAGAAATCACGTAAATACAAGACAATCTACATTTTTATGAAGAAAATTGGTCGAATTTCAATGAATCTTAATGAATGACCCCAAAACAACAGAATTTGATTATATTATAAATATGCATGTACACAAAAAAAACGTCTATCCTTAATCCCTTTTATCTTTTTTTCTTTCTACTAAGTATTACTTTTTTCTAATATCATTTTACATGTAATTTGAATTACAATCTTTTGATTGGGACGTAACCGACATTTATCTTTCCTATCTTTTTACACGATTTTCCTTCTCACGTTCCTCTTTCATACATTGTTTTGTCTCATTCTTGAGATAAGATCATAGATATATGATACTGGTATACAGTATTTCTTGGTATGAAATTAATTTATTTTGATGCAACTGTTTATGTTTACATTAGATTATATGCAAAGGGGATCCACCTACATGTATTGTTTACATATGAACAAGAATATTACACTTTCAATTTTATAACTGTATATAATGTTCTTTTATTTCACATATATAATGATTTCAGTGACAATAATTTGGAAATGTTAAAGATGAATAATTATCAAAGAAATGCTGTACATTTACTATTCACTTTCCTGGTTTGATGACTGTTAATTTATATTGACAAGACCTGATATAATCACTTTGGCCTCATTTGATGAGTTAGAAGTAGAATACTACAAATACATACAGTCAGCTTAAAAATAATATGAAAATGCTAAGTATAATCAAAAATGCCTTTCCGATTAAAATTTCGACTAAAAGATACGGGTTGAAATTGCTTTGCACGACTCTTAATGTTTCCCATATTGCTTTAAATCTTTCATTGAATATTAGAAGCAGAAACTGATGTGTCTGTTTCTCATATCATTTACAGGTTACATTAAATATGTGGAAATGTAAGGCTCCTTTCTTAAACATGATGCATATCAAAACATACTACGAGTATGAAATGCATTGAAAAAAAGTAGTTGAATTTAATACAGACTCTTATCATGTCATGTGTTTTGGATTCAAAAACACGTTAAAAACTGACTGTTTTACACTGAGAAAACCATATTTATACATTCACAATGTGAATATGAAATTGACATATGAGCCGTGTCATGACAAAACCAACATAATGGGTTTGCAACCAGCATGAATCCAGACCAGCCTGCGCATCTGGTCTGGATTCATGCTGGTCGCAAACGCACTATGTTGGTTTTGTTGTAACACGGCTCATTTGATTTATTCTTATATTGTATTTATCTAATGCGTATTGAAATGTATCATCATGATGGTCCAAGATAAAATTGTGTCATAGAAAATATTTATCTCTTTGATAAGCAAAGTTGAACTGCTTTTTCAAAAGCATATGCACCATTATAACACAGTTATAATATCTCCAATATGGTTTTAAACAGAAACAGCCCATGTCATAGTAAATACATGTACACATAGAGTATTATAATGCACATGTTCCGTGTATTACCTATCTTTATTTATTAAGATACTTTTATTTAGATATTAAAATAAGTCTTTAAATTCTAGTTTCTGACTACCTTAAATGTGGAGAAAATGCACAAACATTTTCCATTCAAAGCAAGTTTGGGTAAGAAGATGAAGTACACGGTACAACACCGAAAAGTAGGCTGCACTTGATAATTTTAGCTCCAAATACAGAACTAGCCAACAATGGGGTTTAACATCCGATTTAATGCTGTAAAGTCAAGAAAACCATATATTTTTCATTTATGGCAACATTTTTGCTTGAATGGATTTAGGTTTTCAATATATATTGAATCTTGTATTTAAGACTATACAAGCAAACTCTTGGAGAAGAAAATAGAGCATAAGCTATTTTAAAATGCCTAGTTACACCCAGAAGTATTCGGAGCGTTGATTGGTCACTATGCTCAAAAAGCACGCAACTTAATGTGAACTTCATAACTCCAACAATTTCTTTTTACCAAATTTCAAAATCATGGTACTAAATGGTAGGAAATGATTATTCTTAAAGGAAATAAAGCTGTCATTACAATCATTTCAAGTAATAAGTAGATTAGTAATCTTGAAGTCTCCTCAAGTTAGAAACAACAGAGATATGACCGCTGGAATATTACCCGACTCAACTGCAGTTTATTCGAAATGAATGAATAACATTTTGTGTTTTGTGCATTTAAATATGATACAATTAAATTATCATTTGTAATAACTGTTCAATCAAATCATCATAAAAACTATAACGAACCTTTTTTATGATATGTCAAATAATGAAAGTAAATAGTGCAGCAGATTCCTTCATTTATTTTCGTAAGGATTATTTTCGTTGGTCATGTGAAAACCTCAGACCAATGAAACCATACAAAAACTAAGGGCAACAATCCGATTGAGAATTTGACATATTGGGAAAAAGGTTTTGGTGTAGTGACCAATCAACGCGCTAAACCACGTGTTTACAGCCGAAATGTGTGTATGACTAGCATTTATTTAGTATGTTTACATAACTTAAATTTATTCATTAAACATGTTGGTAATAAATTGCTTACACTTTGATTAAAATAATTTGTACTGTGATGTGTAGGGTGATAAAATTGCATCCTGTTACTTCTTTTAGTTAGTATATATATATATGTGTGTGTGTGTGTGTGCGTGCGTGCGTGCGTGCGTGCGTGCGTGTCTGTGTGTGTGTGTGTGTGTGTGTGTGTGTGTGTGTGTGTGTGTGTGTGTGTGTGTGTAATATTTTGAGCAGTTTTTTAATAAAAACAGTGTGCTATTGCTATCTCAGTGATGCTATATAAGTTGTTATCTTGGCTTTAAAATGACAAATTATGTATCAAAATACAAACTAACATTCGTTTTCAAAATATTTGGGATATAACATTTTATTGGGATTGGAAAAAGGACGCTTTAAAGTTGAAATTGGCCAAAAATACAATGTAATTGAAAATTCATTCCCATTATTGGTAATGGTATAGTGAACGTAATTCATTTAATTTATTAATAAAGACCTTTAGGTCTCACTATCGTATTGTAATATGGCCACCGATTGACTGAACAAAAGTGCAGGGAAAACCGTAAGATACAATGGGACATCATGCGATTTGAAGAAAAAGGATGTTTTAAGTATAAAAACTAATTTAGAAACTAACACTATATTATTTTCTAGAGAAATTGAAATATTTCTTAAGTCTCTAGGATTATTTATCACTTGGATATTTACAGTACGATAGTATGACCTTATGCACGACATCACTATAATTAATGACTATTGCTGAAAGAAACAAACAAGCACAAATTGTGGTTAAATTGTCAGTGAGTGACATTTATTATGTTTACGGAATTACAGAACAATTGATTATAATAATTAATGAACTTATACTGTAACTAAAATTGTCTATGTAAGCAGCTCAAGATAAATAATTAATCATTAAAAAGTCAACAACTTAAAGAAAGGTTCTTTGAAGTTATAAAGTGTAACTTACAAGACTTCGGCACGCATTTTACAGTAAAATATTGATAAAAAATTAACCTGAGCTGATGCGGAGTCGCCGTCTTTCGATGTTGCCATATCAAGAGCACATTATTTTCGCATTATTTCTCCAAGAAAATATTTTGGAAAATTCATGTTTCTGACTTATCCTTTCAAAATTCACCTGGATACTGACTAGGTAGTAATTACCGTTGTTCCTGGTTTATAAACACTTAAAAGACCTTAATATGACACGGAAAGTCACGAAATTAGCCGACTTTTAAAGTGTGTAATCAATATATAACACACACTATGACGAATGTAAACGTTATCCCATCTAATCATATACATAATACATAACTAGGAATATAAATAAATATATTTTGACTTAAAGCTGCTTTACTCCAGATAAGCCAAAATATTTTGCAAAAATCAAGCTTTAGGAAAAAAATACTAATATCTTTTTAGAAAAGCAAAAATATTCGAGATTCAAGTAATAATTTACATGCGAACTTCTGTACATGTTATATGTGATTGAGGACTGGTTGTGCAGTATTTATCACAATGATTCTTTTTCGTGACTACTGCTTTAAAACAATTTTTATCTTTTTATCAATGTAACCAGTGGAAAATATTGGACTAAAAAGAAATTAAACTATAGTCAATTGTAACATGTCAATTGTACACGGTCAGTGGTAGAGTTAATAATCATATATAATGTATACATGACCATTATGTAGTCAGTTGTAAGATATAGGTGTTCACGTCGATAGTAGTCTGTTGTCACATATAACATGTGCACGGTCGGTTGAAGAGTAATTGTATCATATAGAAAGTACAAGGTCATTTGTAGAGCCAAAAGTAAAGTCGTTCGTAACATATCACGTGTACAATCTCACGTTTAAAGATATAACGTGTACACGATCATTTGTAGAATCAGTTGTTAGATATAACGTGCGCATGGTCGGTAATAAAGTTAATCATAACATATAACGTGTACACGATCATTTGTAGAACCAGTTGGAAGATATGACATGCGTATGGTCGGTAATAAAGTCAATTATCACATATAACGTGTATACGATGATTTGTAGAATCAGTTTTTAGATAAAACATGCGCATGGTCGGTATGAAGTTAATTATAACATATAACGTGTACACGACCATTTGAAGAATCAGTGGTTAGATATAACATGCGCATGGTCGGTAATAAAGTCAATTATCACATATAACGTGTATACGATGATTTGTAGAATCAGTTTTTAGATATAACATGCGCATGGTCGGTAATAAAGATATTTATCACATATAACGTGTAAACGATCATTTGTAGAACCAGTTGGAAGATATAGCCTGTGCATGGTCGGTGATAGAGTTAATTGTCACATATATCGTGTAAACGCTTTGTAGTAGCAACGATTGTAAAATTTCACATGTGCACGGACACTTGTTGATATAACATATACATGGTCTGTAGTAGTGACAATATCAACATATAGAATGGCTCTGCAAATGTAATGTTTGTAAATGCATGTATTGTATAATTATGCACTGTTTGTAAATACTATGCGCTCTTCGACATGAAGAAATTTATGAACATTATCTATTTCTTTAAAACTAACTCCTATCTTATGTCTCCCTCATAACCGAATGACTCAAACATGTCAAAGTTTAATCATCTGGTTTAATCAAAGCGCACATGAATTATTTTCCTGTTGAATGTGAAGTATATTTCAAATACTTACCACGGGTTTATTACCGCATGGATAAGAAGTTTACTTTACGCCAGAAATTATCGTTATATAAACAAAAAATCAATATATCTATTAACTACTTGATCCTAATTTACCACGTCTTTCTTGTACTAATGGATAAATTTTAACTTCCTTTCTTCTTTTATTATGGCAAAAGAATTTAAGATAGTAGCACTGGTTTGATATTAATTATTTACAATTTACTACAAGGGATGTTCGAAATGTACTGGAGACTTCAAATTTCAAGTTAGCTCAAGAGTGTTCATTTCATGCCCTCGAAGTACTCCCCGTGGCTAGAAATGCAAAGTTTCAGCCGATGTATCCACTTCTTGAAGGAGTCGCAGTACGCTGATTTGGGCACAGTAATAAGGTACTGATGAATGGCAGATCGAAGTGCCTGTTGGGATTTGTATTTCCGCCCAGCAAGAAAGGATTTAAATTTCGGAAACAAACAGAAATCACATGGGACAAGGTCTGGAGAATACGTGGGGGAGTGAGGCAAAACAGTTACTTTTTTCAAAAGCGCTCTGAAACTATTGCGGAGGTATAAGCGGGGGCATTGTCATGTAGAAGACGGATATGCTTAAAACCAGTGTCAGGGCGTCGTTTCTTATAATACTTTTCCAGTTTTTTAAGTACTGCGTCTTTGTAGTACTTCCCAGTGATACTTTTGCCCTTTTTCACCGGCACTTTTATTGCGACTCATTTACCAGAGAAGAAAATTGCATACAAAACCTTCTTTGCACTGAAAGACCGTTTGGCAATTATTGGGCGTTTGTTGTGTTTATAGAAACCCAGATTTTATTGCTAACTTTTTTGACGGGCTCAAAATAATGGACCCTAGTTTCATCATCTGTGACGACATTGGCAAACTGTTTTTGTCATATTTTGGAAACATTTGAAGAAGCATTTTTGGCCACCTAAACCCGTTGCCTCCTTTGTTCATCGATCAACAGATATTGCACCCGTCTAGCAGAAATTTTCCTGACTTTCAAATGCTTCTTCAAAATATAGTGAACCATTGATATGCCTACCTTTCGTGCAATATCACAAACTTTAAATCTGACATCTCCTTCAATGATATCCTTTATTTTGGAAACGATTTCGTTACGAGATGCAGACTTTGGCCTACCTGATTTTGGTGCATTTTTGATGCACTCTAGACTCACCAGACTCAAATTACTTTTTTCATCGCCTAACTGTGTCATAAGACACACACGAAGGCCCATAAGCAGTAGAGAGTTCAGTCATCAACTGCTTCAAAGAGCAACCCAGTATTGAGCGAGCTTTGATGTTAGTCCCTATTTCATTTTTTTGTCGACGCTTCTACCAACCATTTTTACTACAGTGGTCAATGACTGCGTGTATTTAAATGCCAAATTGTATATCTTACACTTAGTCTAACATTTACATTTATAAACTGTTGTGTAGGTATTGAATAACCCTATACAGGCATTATTGGTTTTTATCGTGTGCCACGTGGATCACGAACAGCCATCGTATTTACGTTTAATGATGACTAATTTTATATGATAGTCTCTGTTAATTGGGGAACAACTTATACATTGCCCTTGTGATGACGGAGGTATCCTTTCAACGCTGGCGACGAATGTTCTATCAACGAAAGAAATGAATTGTAGAAATAAACCCACCCGCCTTCTCGGTCAATGACGGTTTGAAATGTCAAAGAGTTAAGCTCAAATTTTATATTAACGTCATGCTAGTTTAATCTGTCCTCTTTTGTTATGTTTTCAGGATAGCTAATATAGGCGACGTGCTGCAAGACAGCTAGCCCTACTTAAACCAGGAAAGATGTATCTTTAGGATATATATTTATGTCAAAACCACAAGCAATGTTTCTTGCAACGGATTGCCCTTGACGGGGTTTGAAGACGGCAAGTAATTCCTAGATTACTGGTCCGACGTATTAACCACTCGGCAGCATTTGCGTTAACTTATAAAAATTCAAAATTATAATAATCAATCTGTTTTAATCCTTTTCTTTTTATTTTGACAAATCATTAAAATAAAGAAGTAATAATATAAGTATTACACATTTTAACATAAAGAATAAATACATTAGATTAATTAAATGAATTGGATATATTATTTTATTTCTTCATCAAATCATTTATTACATTTGTATTCTGTATAAGTTTGTTAATAATTTAGTAACTTAATGCGAATCTTGCCACTTATCTTTATAAAATATGTCTCTTTAAATAACAACAACATAGGTGAATGAAAATAATTTCACATTCAAAATAATTAAACCTGGACCGATATAATTTAATTTGCAGTTTACATGCTGGTCAGGACATTGCCTTTAGTAACAGGTAAAATATTGATTACAGAATGCGCCAGCTTCATTTTAACATCACTGGTACCGACCTATTATATGTCACAAGCTGAATTTCTTTTTTAGTCAGAAATATGTTAATTCTACAGGAATTCAAATCTTTCACAGATGGTATCAGCCAAAATATCAAATAGTTTTGTTTTTGTTGAAGTATGTAATGTTGTTCATATAACTCATACACAAATGTATCATGATATCAAATAACAGTGTTATAACTAACAGGAGGTGCTTGCCGTGGAGTATGTTTCAAATTGCTCTGAAAGTAGAGGAACTCTTTCGCTAACTCGTCTGTGACATTTCTCAATGTCTTGTCTGAATTTTTCATCGTCTTTATCTTCCAAAGCATTATCACTGTGAAGGAAAGATTATTGATTAGTAACCATCGAATAATCGAATAGGCAGCTTTAACCTGCAATTACACAGTAGAGCTAAAGAGAAGAAAATTTGTATACATAATCTCAGCACTTCTGGAACTGTTACACATTTAAACAGTTGGTCTGCTTTGTAATTACATTATGGTGTCTTACATTGCTTTAAATGCTTCATGGTAAAACTCTTATCTCGTTGATATATTCATCTCCTATTGAAGTTGAATGTTCAGATCATTCAGATGTTCAGATCTATTAAAAATAGCAAACGATAGATATCCAAGATTATGTTATGATATGCTACTATATTATGATACGATGAGTAGGAAAATTTGGGTTTCAGATATCAGATAAAAGTTATGTAGTAATTGATTTAGCTATATTTAGGAGAACCAAAATGAAATTATCGATGATGATTTTTTAAATCTGTATGTCAATAGACTAAAAGATCAATACCTACAGGATTGAAGTGCCAAAGGTATGCTTCATAAGAAATTGACATATTATTCGTCATATAAAACAAAATTTACAGTTGAATATTATGTACATGTACTTGAAATTCTCAAATTTCGAAAATGTTTCGCTTCTTTTAGATGTTCTGTTCACAATCTTCTTATTGAAACAGATATACACTATGGCTTAAGTAGATATGAACGTGTTTATCTTTATTGTGAAACTTCAATAGAAGTTGAATTCCATTTTATATTAATCTGTCCTCGAGTCCTTAAGTTTCACTATATTAAAGTAAAAGACAATATTCTTTGTCACAAATTCTAACATGAATAGAGATCATACAGGAAAAGTGTCATTCAATTTCAAATGATTTAGAACAACAATACAGAGTAATACAGGAAATCTATTGTGACAGTCAAACCATGTTAAACTGTACTAAACCTATCTTTCGTGCATTTACATCTGCAGAGAAGCCAAAGGACGCATTTAAATTCAAAGCCATTGAAATCCAAAGCCAGCATTTTGAAACTAAAAGCTAAAAGAATCTTAATAGACAGTGCATAGTTACATACGTATTTATTCAAAGCTAGATGAAGTATAAAATGAGAAATATTTTGAATCTTTTGAAATAAATAGTAAAACAAATATTGATTCAATTTAGTACTTGAACAGCGCTGAATTTAAGCCCATTATTTAATTAATCAGCGCTTGCCTCTTGATCTTCTGGTATTGAAGAAGAGAATTTAAGATTTGTTTTCTACATATTATAGGTTTTAATGATGTTTGTAATGTTATTTTCAAATATAAATGGTCATGTTTCAGTATATCTTTTTATTGGGCTTTACGTCACACCAACACAGTATAGGTCATTTGGTGACTTTCCAGCTTAACGAGTGCAAAGAGACCTCATTTGCACCTCTGTGTGCTTTTTAGGTACAAGGTACAAACGAACCGGAGTAGAACCGCCGACGTTCCTTAAGATAGTTTTCTCAAACGAAAGTATGAATATGTTTCAAATTGCTCAGAGAGTAAAGGAACTCTTCGCAAACTCGTGTGTGACGTTCTCTTCCACTTACTCGTCTGTGACATTCCTGAATGTCTTTTTTGAAAATTTCATTATCTTGATCTTCCAAAGCATTATCACTGTGAACAAAAGATTATTGATTAAAAACCATCAAATAATCAAATAGGCAGCTTTAAATTGCAATTACACATTAGAGCAAGAGAAAAGAAAATTTGTAAATATAATCTTATCTCAGGACTTCTGGAACTGTTACACATTTAAACAGCATGGACTGTTTTGTAATTGCATTATGATGTCTTACATTGCTTTTAATGCATATGGTAAAACTCTTATCTCGTTGATATATTCATCTCCTATTGAAGTTGAATAAGTTCAGATCATCAACATCTTATATTTTTATAAAACACAATACCCGACATAAATACTTATGGTAGCAGTATTTATGCTTCATATGCTAACAGGGTGCTACTATTGGCTGCAGATATAGAGCTGAATCCATGTCCAACAGAAGATACACAATTAATATTGAATGTTATCTCTGATAATCGAGATTCTTTAACACAAATGAAGAATGATATTGTTGGTGTTAAAATGGAAATGACCAATGTCCAGACAGAGCTTACATCTATTAAATCAAATATTAAAAATATTGAGACAAATCAAGTTAAAACTATAAAAATTATAAGTGATATGCAGAGACGTTTAGATTATATCGAGTACCAAAATGAGATTCTCGACAGTGATATTAGAGCTTTGGCAATTAATGATGAAACTTTGCAGGAGTGTATCGAACAAGTAGAGAGACATTTAAATGTAACAGAGGTGAAAGGATCATTAATAATGTTTGGCCTTCAAGAAACGGAAAATGAGCAAATGTCCTTAGAAGCTTCTGTCAATGAATCAATATTTTCTGCTGCTCCTCCTAATGCAATGTTAAATGAAGATTTAATAAAATCTGTTAGAAGAGTTGGTAAAAAAACTAGTAAACCTAGGCTAGTAATAGTGGAATTAAAAAGACCTAGATGACAAGTTTTAACTTTTTAAGTATCGTGATCATCTCAGGACTACAGTTTTACTCCTTAATGATCTTACATACTTACAACGTCAGCAGTTGAAAGAACTCAATAATAGAAGTTCACGCGGATATTTCAAGAATGGCAAATTGGTAACATATAAGCCAAATCAATTTACCAGGCAACAAACAGATACCAACAGGAGATTTGTACATGCTTTTCGACATAGTTATGCCAGTATTGTAAGTGGTGCAAATTCATTTGACAATGATTACAATATATCATAATCATTGGGGGAATCACAAAGAGGCACTTTTGAGGATACGCAAAATAGTGTATGGTTCAGAACTATGGGGTCGTAGTAATAGTTCCTGTATTGAGGCACTCATAAACTTTGTTGTAAAAGATTTTTACAAGTAAACTCTAATGCTTGTAATGATGCAGTTATGGGTGACTTAGAACAATACCCAATGTATATCTATACATCAAAACATTGTATTAAATATTGGTAATGGGTTTCAGATAAAAGTTATGTAGTAATGGATTTGGATTTGGCTATATTTGGGAGAACTAAATTGAAATTATTAATGATTATTTTATTTAATCTGTATGCCAATAGTACCTAAAGGATTGGAGAGCCAAATGAATGCTTAATAAGAAATTGACATTGAAATTCGTCATATAAAACAAAATTTACAGTTGAAATTATGTACATGTACTTGATATTGTCAAATTTTGAAAATGTTTTGCTTCTTTTAGATGTTTTGTTCACAATCTTTTTATTGAAACAGGTAGACACTATGGCTTTAGTAGAGATGAACGTGTATATCCTTAATGTGAAACTTCAATAGAAAATGAATTCCATTTTAAAATGATATACGCTGCCAATATATTTCGGAAAATTGCAGAATGCTACCAACACTTGATAAAATTTACTTATTCATGTCTAAAAAATGAAAAAATGAACACTGCAATGTACCTGTTCTGTGCACTAAATAAAAGACAAAGTCACTTAGATATTAGATCACAATGAATACTGAAATACTGTTAATTTTGTCAATTTTGTATGTATACATGTCTGTATCACTCACTGTCTATGTATTTATATGTTGTAAATGTTTATGGGCCGGAGGCCTAAAGACTTATAGACAATAAAATTTTGAAATCTTGAAACTTATATATGAAAACTTACGACTTGCACTGACATGATTCAAAAATATAATTATGATATTATTGCAAATTTGTGTGTTTTAAACATAGCAAAATATTGCAAATCGTTTAGCTTTTGTTTCATCAAGTAGGTCTTAACGTAACTTTATTATCAAAGTTGTATTCATCATACCTTATATGCGGCTTATGTTTCAGCAGACGTTTCGTGTTTTAACATCATCGTTGTATATCTATTTAATATTAGAAAGCGAACACTGAAGATCACCTGTTATAGAACAAGAAATTGCTATGATAGGATGTTCCGCAATTGTATGGAATAATACCCAAGAAGTGCAGGAATGTTGAAATTCTGTGGATTATCATTGCAAAGAATTGAATGATAAGAACAACACCATAAACAGCTATCACCGCAAACCCTGAAAGAAACATCAGTTTATTATCTAAAAAAGTAATTTTATTTGAAAAATGACATAGTTGACCCCTGGTTGTTGATATTTTCATAGTAAATTATCCACATTATAAAAGATAGCTTTCATAAAATTTTCAAAAGTCAACAATCACCACGACAAATATCCGTACCAAGAGTCAATACACTGTTAAACGTAAAACGTTTGTTTTAACAAAGAAATAACTCTTTTAAGGTAAGTATAAACAAATTTCAGTATTTTCCTTCATTTTGTACAAATTCTATCTCAACAATTTCTTTGATTTGCATGCTTCAGTTCTATCATGATTATTTTTGTTAACAGTTAAGCTTCCTCTTTGTCAATAAAAAAGCTTCAACTTACCTATCGGATTACTTCCAAACACACCAAGTAGTTTTCCCTTATCTGCCAACGTTGAGATAAGTATTAACCACAGAACATTAATCATAGCAAATACTAAAAGCCACATGTCGCGTGAATCCTTAAGTTTCACTATATTAAAGTAAAAGACACTATTATTTGTCACAAATACTAACACGAATAGAGATCATACAGGAAGAGTGTCATTCAATTTCAAATGATTTATCACAACACTACAGAGTAATACAGGAAATCTATTGTGACAGTCAAACCATGTTAAACTGTACTAAACCTATCTTTCGTGCATTTACATCTGCAGAGAAGCCAAAGAAAAAGCATTTGAAATCCAAAGCCAGCATTTTGAAAATAAAAGCTTAAAGAATCTATAATGACAAGGCATAGTTACAAAAGTATTTATTCAAATCTAGATGAAGTATAAAATGAGAAATACTTTGAATCTTTTGAAATAAATAGTAAAACAAATATTGATTCAAGTTACTACTTGAACAGCGCTGAATTTGAGCCCGTTATTTAAATAATCGGCGCTTGCCTCTTGACCTTCTAGTATTGAAGAAGAAAATTTAAGATTTGTTTTCTACATATTATAGGTTTTAATTATGTTTGTAATGTTATTTTCAAATATAAATGGTCATGTTTCAGTATATCTTTTTATTGGGATTTACGTCACACCAACAAAGTATAGGTCATATGGCGACTTTCCAGCTTTATGAGTGCAAAGAGACCTCATTTGCACCTCTGTGTGCTTTTTAGGTACAAGGTATAAACGAACCGGAGTAGAACCGCCGACGTTGCTTAAGATAATTTTCTCAAATGAAAGAACCGAAGATTCTTTCGCGGCTTGTGTTTTGAAGCCAACGACCTTTACCATTCGGCAATGGACGCCATGTTTCAAAATAGCTCTTAACAACCAGTATGTCTATGCTATCAAATTAAATCTAAAAGCTGCAACGACCACTATAGAATAGATCATAGATTTTAAAATCTATGATTTAAAAGATACTTATGACGTCATCAAACGTGTCAAACCTTTCAAATGCTCATCGGACTCGAATACTGTTGACCTTGGCCTTAGACACTCTTCTCCAACTTGTTTCCAGAAATCTGTGACTTCGTTGTTCTGTTCTTCAGAACGTTTTTCTTCAATTGCATTGCAAGCTTCAACTTGTTTTTTCTGAGCTATAATATTATTATGTAACATATATCATGAGGAGTATAAATGGATTTTCAATATCAAGTGCAATGCTGAAAATATGGATCTAGTCCAAATAATTAAGACACCCTGTAATAAAAGCGAAAATGTTTAGCTAACATGTCATCTTTATCAGTAAAATATTATTAATCTTTTTACATCAGAGGATATCTAAATACTGAAATTTAATAAGATAAGGTTCAGTGAATTCCTTTGAGATTTTAAAAAGGATGACATCTAAGTTGTTTCCACAATATAGAAAAAGTCATAGGGTGTGATTGGACGAAGGTAATGTTAGCATTTGTGCATACTGGTATGTCTTTGTCGATGGAAAAAAATCAAACAAAGGAACAATAGCGATTGTAACTTTCTCGTTTATAAAGAGTATTTCGGTCTATATCAGTTTTCAATGAAATTGTCAATGTTAAATGTAAACATAGTGCGTCATCCGAATTTAGACTCTATCAAATTAGCGTTTGTCAAAATGTCCATATTTTGAAGCGGGTGTGCTTAAAGAGACAAAATGCAAATTTGTTCATTGTTGAGTTGAATTGTCTAAATAAAATTATACATTGAAATCATGATTAACCAGCAGTTGATATTGGAAAATGTTTAGGATATAATATAAATCTACCTAAAATATAAAACGACTGCCTCACTTTTAATAATTGAAAGTTACAGGTTATTACGATGAATATTTATAGAAATTTCCTTTGGCCACCTGAGTTATATATAATTCATGTGAAGTAAATTATAAAACTGAAAGGATGACAAACTTTTATTTGACTAACATCTGTTAACTTACTATATACCCTTGGATTGGCAAAATTTTACTTGAGGGTATTTTAAGGTCAAATGGGACAAGTACAAGTAATTTAATTTAGAAATGAAACTACTTGAAGATCGTGTGTAATGACTTTCTACTAAACTTACCATGTGACGGTTTTCGTAATGCTTTTATGGCTATCAGGAACCTTCTGATATGACCTACAAGCATGTGAAACCCACTCAGAATTAATTCATTCGCATCATAAAAGGCAATGGACAACGCTAACTCTTTAAATTATTCGAGCTGTAACATGTTTGCTGAGTCACAGTCATTAAATCTATGTTACCGAAACTTGTGCGCTTAGAAGGTTTCTATAAAACAATATTGGATGTATTTGTACGGTCAATTCCAATATCTACGAAATGAATATACAATTGTTAGTAAAGCAGAACGTCCATGTCCACATTAACTAGACAAAAATAACGTGTTTAGTATTGGAATCTAGATATTTAAAAAGAAATGTTTTGAAGGAAGGTAGATTTGTCAAAATAGGAAACTTATCACCTACCTCTCTTGTTGATGTGGAATGATTTGACATCATCTTCCTTGCAGTCTGCTAGGATTTCAAGATCAATTTGATCTTTGATATTTGCCTCAAAGAAATGGTTTTTGTATTGTTCCAAACCAATTTGTTTTAACCAACTCTCAACATTTTCCTATATTCAATCGGAGAGAAGAATAATTATAAGACACTAAATAGGACAGAAAACATGAACATGTTATAAAATATGCATTACCTTTCACTTGTTATTCAAATAAACTATGCATGAAATAATCACTTCAGTCATTCAGTTTGTTGTCTAGCTAGAAGTACTAGAAGAAATTAAGACCCAATAATATATTTTTTCAGATTCTTGTTGTAAAAATAGGTTCAAATATATGTTGTATGCCAAGCTGATTTCTTTAAATCACACATCAATGCCAATTTTGCGATTCCGTAAAAAAGGTAATCCACAGCCGTGTGTATATATCTTGAAGTGTGACTTCATTTGCGCAAAACAAACATAGCGTAAACAAGGGCTATATATTAGCATTACTATATAAGTGAGTTATCATAAATCATTGTAGAATATGTTGACTTAAATAATATAATTCTTGCTAAAGGCCAAATGAAACGTTGATCGTGATGAAATAGAGAGAAATAAGAATCCCTAAAGAAAGCCCAACACAGCAAAATTGAAAATGTTGCAGGCTAGGTTTGATTGAGCCTGTTCATGGACGGTACTGTAAAGTGCAAACTACCTTCCACGCCCTCTAGCACCGGCTTAAGCAGAATTCAACATTTAAACATGAAATGGAAAAATTTTGAATTTTTAAACATCCGCAGTTGTGTTCATACGGCGGTTTTCATGGAACCTTCAATGTGACACAGTAGTGCCATTCCATGAAAAGCGGCGTAGGGTCACCAAATAATAATAAGATTGTGCCCTAAACGAGAAAACAATGGGCGGAACTTAACAAAATGGAATTTTGAAAGGGATCAGAGGTTATGAAGCCTGCATATCACAGATAAAACGTCAAAAGAAAAAGTTAAAAAGCAGGCCACATATCCTAAGTGTGATTCAACAGTATTGACCCAAAATTGCTCACATTCTTAATCTGAAAATGTTTTTGCTTAACAATTGTCTGGAATTTTGTTTTTAATTTACCTTACAATCTAATGGTATAATATAAAAAAAACTGAACTGAAAATAAATATTCACGGATAAAATATTTATAGATTTTGGCACAGTGTTCTTCACCAAGTAATTGTTTGATTGTCCTAGTTCGATTAATTGAGGTGTACTTCTAGAAATGACATAATTATTAAATACACTTGTAAGGCAATGCTTAATATGCTAAATAGATAATCTAATTATCAGCCATGTATTTAAATCTATAGACCTTAAGGAATCTTTTGAATTAAATATTTCTTTTGATTTCCATTGCAAGCAGATTTCTGCTCGGAATCGAATTCTTAGAAAAACTCAAGGATTATAACAAAAAACGTTAATGTCATTAAATGTCATACGCCATGGCCTTCCGGATACCGCGCCGGCACAATAGTTAAGTAGATAGTAAATAATCACTGAAAGACCAATGTCTGACTGACGGGAAACAACAAAAAAATTGTTATGTAGCAATACCCCTCAAGTCCTTAAGAGATAACTTGTTAAAATGGAATATTTCATCACCAATAGAAGAATTTATTATGGAGAATATGAAAGGTGCCTATTTAGAAGTGTGTTGCAAGCATCTTCATTATATAAACTAGTGGTGTCGACGATAAGACGAAAAGTATTGCGATACAAGCGTTGATCATTGTCGTAATTAACTTTAAGCATTGCTTTAAAGTATACTCACTGGAATTTGCAATGGAATTTCGTAATCCTTCAGTTGTTCAACCATATTAATAATTTTCTTTATTTTTATCCGGTCTGAAATATAAGTGTTAACAATCGTAAATAAAATGTGTGTTTTTTAAAACAGCCTTTATACATTATGTCATACGGTTAACAGGCACTTTAAAGCTATTTGAAATTGCTGCTTTTCGTTTATTCTTCAAAAAGTGTCCTCCTTTGTTTTTCATATAACCATTATTTTACAACTATATAAAAATTGGGGTGAGGGGTCAGAGAGAGTGTTTATGCCTTTCACAAATATGTAACCTTGGTTAATGCTTGGGACTGATTCGGAAAAGGTTTGACTTGGGGTTAAAAAGAATTGTTACATAATATAACATAGCATATATTTTTAAGCATTAAACATATTAAAAAATGTTTATAGCCAACATGAGTAATGGTATACGCAGAAAAGGTTAACATGTTTTGCAGAAGAACAAAATATGTTATTTTTCAATAAAGTTTATTGACGACATGAATTCTCTACCAACAATCCCATTAAATGTTGTAAAGGTTGACATCCTTATATCCTGAAATTGCTTTTAATCGTTTATATCATCAATCATGGCAATTCATAGTGAACAACGAAATGAAAGACATACCCTTTATACCAATACTCTTCAGATCTTCTTTTCTAATGTTACTGATAAAAGAAGTTTTCTCGAAACCATTTTCTTTCAAAAGCTTTGCTTCTTCTGGCTACAATGATTTCAGAACATGTTGAATGAGTGCAAATGAAAACAATAAAGGGGAAACAGTTGTCCTGATTTTTGTTGGATAATAGAATTAAAAGTCAAAATATAGAATGTACGTATTCCATCAATGTGTCCATAATGTATTTTAACTACTTCATGCGGAATCTTTGGAAGATGAATCTTTGGAAAATTCTTTTCAACAAACAATGAGCACTAACAAAGAGTCTCTGAATGAACAACAATAGCAAACTGACATATATATCAAAATAGTTACAGGGTCACTGTCGCATTCAAATTCCAAACATAATACCGCGCTGACATTGGGATTTACTGAATGTTTCAATGTTAAAAAATTACTACCATATCTTGTAACCATGTTTCTACAGACTCGTCTTCTTCGCTTTGCACAGGATCAACGCAATCTATATTTACCCATAAAACAGTTAATGCACATTTGTTTACCACCCAACTTTACAAAACATATTTAATCAGTTAAAGAAAGATTATCCAATAAGATATGTTTGCTTAACATTTTATAAGAAAATTAAATTATTTTTAAGATGAAGATAATTATTTAGTAGCTACCGGAATGCTTCCTACTTGATTTGGCAAAACTGTTTGAAAACGTCTAAACTTTGGCCGATGTTAAAAACTTCAACCAACAATTGTGGCAGCTGAACAGATTTTACACATACTGATACAAAGAAAGTATGAATTTTTTCTCGGCATTTGTTTGCGCTATAACAGTTTGCTTTTGGGTAATATATTTTTTATCAAATAGGTGTTACATAGAACTAGAAATAAGACATAAAACCTTTTTATATGGACAAGAGGTTCATGATGGCCAAAAGATATAGGCTATGGAGAATATTTCATAATTCATGTGCATAATACTATATAGCTGCTGCCTGTAGTTTACACACCAAAATAGCGATACGAAACACAAGTCATTATGCATTGCACAAAAGTATTGCTGAACAGTTATAAACCATATTAGTATAGCAGAATACGTTTTTTTGGAACAACAGTTTACTTTACACACACTATTCATGTTTGTTAAATAGCAAAGATGTTCTATGTTACAGCTCTTTTGAGAATCGACAATTAGATTATGGAAACAACATAACATTATCTTTTACCGTAAATTTTATAAAACGTTTTTCAATTAGATATACTTTATACGAAAGTATAACTTTTTAAACGAGTTTTATAAATATCCAAAAACGTTTAAAAACATAATTATTTTGTTTAAAGCAACAGTTGACGCCGTACGACGATCAACGCACGAACGCCAATAACTTATCTTTGGCATTTTGTTCGTTAGGTAGGGCACTTTCACAAGAGTTAATCTTAGACATGTTGTGCTCTAGTCCAAAAAATATTAAACTTCTTTATCCTCACACTTAATACTCTTATCTAAGTTCTATTTTTTATAAATCAATTTTCTGGTAATGTACCTAAAAATTACAATTTTAAAAACGATGAACGATACAGAAATTAACAAATGAATCATATCACCATTTGGTGCCATTGTATCGTCACCAGATTGTGATGTACCAGACGATTTAGCTTTATATATAGATCGACCTAAACTTTTATTGCTGCCTTGATTTTCTGATTCTTGTACTTGTTGACGATTGTCTTGCCTTGAAAAACACCTAAACACATATAAATTAACAATTGACACAAATGATAAAAATATATTATTAATAAGTTATTTAAAATAATTCAGGATAGCTTTTTCACCATATTTTAAAGTGACACTGTGCCTTTCAAAGTGTAAGTGTAAGTTTACAGGTAAACCAGAAATAAAATTTAAATGTCTTCAATTTTATATTTAATTATGAAAAAACAACAACAGCAACAACAAAAACAGTAATCCAGATGACGCATGGAAATTTCTTTAACTATCGTTCACAATAAACGGATGCCGTTCGAATTTTAGAAAAGAATATGTCCGATCTTTTATATTTTGGGCAGATTTATATATTTTATCCGTAACATTTTTATAAAATGTTGGTCGATCACAACTATGAGGGGTGTTCAATTATGAATGCAACTGGGTCAACTTCTAGAAGTGCTAACATACAGTGCCAAATAATTATCTTAAAACATACCACCATGTGATAAAAAGTTGTATTATTTTAGTAAAATTGTTAAATGCGTTTATTTTTCAGGATCTTTTCGAGGTATAGAAAATAGCCGAACCGAATTTTTTTCCCGTTTGATATTTTCTTCCTGCAAGGTGTTTTTTGAGTTTCGGAAAGAGGAAAAAGTATTAAGGGACAAGATCTGGCGAGAAAGGAGGGTGAGTAATGTCAAGTCAACAACATTTTCCTGTTTTAGATATTTTCTTTCAATGGCCGCTTTGTGTGACAAAGCATTGTCTTGCAACAACCTGACACCACGGAGACCAGTTGCTTGCTTCTTGAAATATTTCTTTAATTTATAAAGGACATTGCCTTTGTAAAACTTGGCATTTACAGATGTACCCTTTCGTACGGAAATTTGAATAACAGGACCTTGATTGACGCTCATTGTGCGTTTTGCTACGCAAAGTCTTTGACTTCCTTTGCTTGGACTCATAAATTCATCGTCATTATTGATATTTGCGAAAGATTGACTGTTGTATTTAGAGAAAGGTTTCAACAATTGTTTGGAGGGTCTTACTCAGCAAGTGTTTACTCTTTTGTAAGAAGATGGGGTATCCATCTGGCACGTATCCTTCAAATTTTTCAATCACGTCTGAGAATCGTATGAGCGACTCCTACGGAGAGACCAACGTATTAAGCTATATGCCTAGTTGTAAATCCTGCATCAGTAGCAATTAAGTCCTTTACTTTTTCAACCATTTTTGGCGAAATTTCATCAACCATTTTTGGTGAAATTAAGTTTTTTAAAGGCGTGCATGAAGTTCATCTTTTTCTGAATCCACACCACTTTGAAAATTCTTTAACCACGGTGTGACAGACGAAAAAGAAAAGTTCATTGTTCTCATAAACACGACACATTTCATTAAGCATATCTTTCGCCTGTATGCCAAGAAGACTATTGTCAAAGCTAGACTGAGCTGAACTAATTTGCACATGCATTATATCAATTGAGAGCTAATACAACCATCTATGCGATACATGTACATAGTTCATGCAAAACGTTGTTAAAAGGGGGTATTGGCCTAGTTGCAATTATATTTGAGCACCCCTCGTAACGCAGTCAATCCTTTAAAATATATAAAGAATTCAGCTCAACTTGACTAAAACTGAGCATAGTGTCACTTTAACACCATAAAGATAGTCTTGTCCGAATTAAAAATTATAAGATATTACATGTAATGTAATTCTAAGATGTATCTAAGGTTAGCTTTTTACAAACTAATATCTGTGAGGTTTAAACATTGAAACAAACTTAACATTCAATTTTAAAAATATTACACTCAGTTGTAAGTCTTACTTCTTGGACCATTTAAAATATATGGGGCGTTATTCATATTCACATTCATCTGTCACAAATTTTGAATTTAACTTCAATAATACCCATACTACTTACGAGCACAAAAATTTAATCCCCGACAAAATTTTCTCTTTCCATGTATGGTCATGCAAGATTTCTTGTTCATCTTCTCTTGTTCCTTTTTTAAGGCAAATTTATTTTTATACGAAATTCAACGTTAATAAATGATTAAACATGAATTATTACAATCATTCTCGAAACTTTAAATTGTCTTCTACAAGATGATAAATAAAACCATTCCTCAAATTTTACAGGCATTTAAATTATATTTTATTTTAAATCATATATTACATAGTAAATACTTTTACATTTTGAATTGTTAAAGATGTTTGAATTCTGAGATTTTTTTTTACCCCAGGAACTGTCGGTTATATTGCAGATGCTGTATATCATCAATACCAAATAACCCGAAGGCAATCCAAGTAGATACACAAATCCATAAAATATAATCCAAAACTCTGATAGGTGTAACACAGCGGTAATGAGAAAAATAGCTGCCATTCCAATCAAATAGACACTGGTCGATGATAATTTTAAATCGTCACTGATAACTGAATTATACATTTAAAGTTAGAGTAATTGGCTAACATGTATAATCTTAATAATACATACAATGTCAACATGGAAACAAGAAGGTCTTTGAAATGACTATTTTTTTACCCAAAATTTCGAATTGTTTATACGATTGAAATATTCGATCTTACAAAATACGATGAACATCATCACCGTGCATATGTAGTAACGCTGGCGTGTGCAAATAACGTAAAGGTAACGTCGGATCTGTGCAACGTTATAGCCAAGACGAATAACACGTTAAGTAAACAAACTTAAGTAAATCAAATTTAAACATACGGCTGCTACAACATTATATTTTAACCAGCACTACAATTTTTTTTAAGTTTACTTCTTCAGATCATTCGTGAGAAGGTCAACCGAATAACCGTTTTGAAGGTGACTTTTCTGTTTCCGTCAAATAAATATGTACATATAACTTATATAAAACATAACATTTTCATATTATGTATACCTTAGACATTTGTCAAACTACAAGTGCCGTGTAACAATAAAAGAAAGCTGCTAAAATAAGATTTAGCAACTACTAATAGGATAACCGCCGTTGCTTCAGTGCTTCATTCGCTAATTCGGCGTTATCTCGTAAAAATGGCTCAATTACATTTTATCTGCTAAATTAAGTGTAGTATGCCACCGGCCACGAGTAGATTTATTGGAAAATGTCTCATGTATACAGAATATAAAAAGTCATGGAGTAGTATGTACGTTATTGTATTTAAAGATATCAACGAAATTAAAAATTGCCATCAATAATCTAGTCAGGTCGTCATTTTCACGATCATGAAATATTTTTGATGAGGTTTAAAGTATAATGTCTCGGCAACTGTATACGCTAATTCAGTTCTGCCAAGTAGGTGTACATTTAAAAAAAATTGGTCCATTTACTTATCGCGGTGCTCGTTTTAGCCACTAAATTGCACAATTCTGCGTTACTTTTGCACAATTCCTGCGTTATTTGCACATTCTAGCGTTACTGGATAACACGGTGATCACATAAAAATGTGATCCAGAAGTTTCTTTCATTTGACATTAGGACTTTGTTTTTTTCTATTAAGATGAACATCTTTCAATTTATTCGAAGTATCATTAAGAATACCATTCTCACATTGTTTGATGAAGATCAAATAAAAATGTGACATCTAGAATTTCAGCACGTTTGTTTCTCTTGAATGATTTCGATATTTTATAAGATATTCTGATCGTTGCTAACAGCTCAAATGAGTTGAGCTAAAACAAAGCTCAGGTGAGCTGAAAAGCAAAAGACATTATGCCGAACAAAATGGAATACAAATCTCAAATGGGATTTGACGTTAGGAAGCTTGCATAAGACATCCTATCACATATGTAAGAATATGAATCTTAAAAGCAGGCATAATTGAATATGATTCAAATAGAAAAAAATGCAACTATTGAAGGATTTTAAAGGCATTCTTTGTTTTGAGTAAACAAAATAACGTACAACTTTCTTCAGCTCCTGGTTGACCGTTGATATCAGTTGCAATTTCCACTGCAGTACCAACAAGCGCTATCATCATGAAAAATGTGTATAAACAGCAATATAACTTCCCTATCTGAAATGAAATTAATACTAGCTTTCACATTCTGTATTTTAAACTGCATCTAGAGAGCATTAATCTTAACTACGCGGGCTCAAGATTTCCCTAGCACATTTGTGTCCCTTTTCATGTCTTATACTACCATTTGATTCCTTTTTAAAAAAAATCTTTATAGATTTTTTGGCGTCTGGTGTTTCATTTTCATTGCATGCCGACATTCTTTTTTATCGTTTTGTTTATATTTTTTAAGACACGTTGATAAAAGTTCTAGTTCCAAGACCGTTGACCTCCTTCTTAAAAACAGCTGCAATATTTCAATAAACTTTCCGAAAAGAGGAAAGCTTAATTGGTAAAACATATTGTTTTTCAATTTAAAACGACAAATACCGATATAGATCGTTTTATTCTGCTTGTTTTACTACATTGCTTTTGTATATTGTTTTAAAAGCTTAACATCATTTAAATCTTACCTAAAATATTACTTATATACTAATATATTACCGAATCGTTTTATTTAATTTTATGGGAACGATATTGAATAGATAAGAATGGACGAAATACATTTTTCAAGTTAATCTAACATTCGGTAACATATTAAAGCATACATAAAAATGCACCAGAAAGCTCATCATTTTAAAATATATTTTCTTTACAAAGCATTCCGAAGATCATTGTCTGTTGTTAAATGATATGAAGCTTATTTTACTCTATGAAGCTTATTTTACTCTATTAAATTTACCTTTAATGGCTTGGATTTACTTTTACTATTGAAGATATTTTAATTCGTTTTTGTAATACATTTATAAAGCATGTAAGCTTTGCATCAAATAGGTTAGACATATTTGTAAAATATGCACACGAGACACGGTATTTTGTAGCATCTCGTTCAACTGATTTTACATAATCGTTCTTACATTCGAAAGTAAATGCATGATAATTTTAAACGTTTTAAGCCAGATTGGATCTATAAACTTGATTAATATTTCAAAAAATGTGCTCTAATATAATATTATCTATAGCTTATGAAATTTTATTGTGACATAATAACAATTGCTTTTAAATTAGAAAATATTTGAGGAAAGAAACAAAATCGTTCTTTATCAACATTTCTAAAAACCGACAAGTATACAGCACAGTCTAAAACGAATATTATACGGTACCATTAGTTGTGTCCGTGACGAAGAATAAAGACATATAATTCCATAGCCGACGCTTGCAGCAACCTGTATCGAAAGTGTTACTGAAGAGTTCCAATCTTTTCCAAACTTCAATCCCCCTGTTACAAACAAATCAATAGATTATTCCCTGATATGAGGTGTTAATATTAACGCGTATAAAATATATAAAATATCGGTTCATAATTCTAATTTACTTTTTGCCTAGAATTGGATTAAGTCAATACCCACCCACCCGCACAAAAAAAATAACAATTGAATAAATAAATAAATGCAAACAATCTGTATTTGAAGACATACCTGAAACAACAAGAATAACTGAGCTTGGTCCAATTAAAGTTGAAACCAGCAAAATAATTTGATATATCTTGAAGAGGAAAGACACTCGTAAATTGTTTTGTTTAACTAAAAAAAAATAGATAGAAACAATAATTCATTACAGGTATTCATGTACCAGTAGTAAACTTATATCCATATCAATTAATATCAAGTGAGGTTTTACGCAAACGTTAAATGGCTGCGAAGGAACTGGTTAAATTGAAAGGAATAAATCAAATGTTGTTGTTTTGGCCAAGCGACTGTATTTCTCCGTTGCCTTTTATCTTGGAGAAATGTAATAAAAAATTTTCTCCATTTCTGGCCTGTCAGGGTATCTCGAGTCACTTCTATATGTACCAAAAGCACAGTTTCAGTTAACACGTAATTTTCAACTTCTTTTCCTCTTACAAATTATATATAATAAAATTTCATTAAAAAATATGAAATCGCTTGTCAGCACTTGTGACGCAGTGGTGATTTGGTAAAATTTTAGAAAAGTGTTAAAGGGGAAGCGTTCTCACACATTGCTACATTCAGTAACGTATTCAGCGCAGTGGTTTCGTTGTTCTATTTTCTTTTTGCTGTGTTTCTTTATTAACGCGAGTGTAAATTCGAAAATACATCTGTGCGGGTAAAAAAATAAGTAAAGCAATTGAAATTACAACTATCTGCAATATACTATAACCATAGACATTCTCGAAAATCAACCACATAAGCAGTGCATTATTTGTTTACGGAGATAAGAAAGTATTATTCGTTGAAAGGACAAAACTGTTAATAACAGATGTTTTTGCAATAAATTGAAAAACGAAAATGGGTGCTATATGCATGTGAATGTCTTTATTTACTTCGCAAAACTTTTTAATACTCACAAAATAAATCGTGTCATCCCGCAGTAAATCATGCGACTTTTTCATAATCATAAAAGACTCGGTTGCTTCGCAGCCGAATAATTTTAAGTTTTTGATCCTTATTTCAGTTCTTCCATGTGCAAAGTTTGTATCCGAAATAGACAACAAACTTACTTAAACTCCATTCTTTAATTAAGAGCCATTGGTTCGCAAGTGTTGAAACAATCCAACGACGCCTTTGTTTAAAAAACTCGTCAAAATCTTCAGGACAATGAGTACTATTTGTTGACGTTGCGCAATATTCTATCCGCCATCCTTTCTGGACCTTCAAAATGATAATTTATAACTTTGTTGAATATTTCATAGATCACATATTCATCTTCGATTTCAACACTTACTTCCTTCAGTTGAATTTCAGTTAAGTAACTATAATTTTGTGGCGACTGGATGGTCAATGATCGGAAATATTCTTTTACATCTCACAATATATTTGATCATATTTTTGAAATAATACAATGAAGCAAACATACAAACACACACACACACAAACAGAAAAAAAGTTTTGATTGCACATTTGCAAAATACGTGGACAATGATTTTACCAAAAGCGTGCATAACCATCGGTCTTCACCCATATCTTTTGTTAAAAATTCTTCTGCTTTTTCAACATTTGTAGCGTATAGATTCAAGACATCGTTTATTGCTTTAAGCCTGTAGACACTGAAACATCCGGGTGCACACAAAACAGTACCAAGTACATGCTCAGATGCCTGAAATGTCGAACAATATATTACTTCCTTCGAGATTGTATCCACATCATGGTAAACGTTTTAAAACACTGGATGCTGCTTCCTAAACAAGATTTACTCAAATTATATTAATTTCTAAAATAAGTTATTGTGATAAAGCTTAATGGCGTGATAGTGCTCACAAATATAAAGTTCACAAAAAGATTAACATACCTTTTGAAACCAGTGACCAATTGCATACTCAAAAATCTGATACCAAACAAGCAACCCATTTCCGAGTGGATGAGTCCTTGCACATACCGCACCGACGCTCTCATCACGTGCCATTAGATTTATTAGTGCTTCAACACTTTTAGGGGTAAATTTGACATCTGCATCAGTAGTTAAAATGTACGATTGTTCTGAATTTTCTAAAATTTATATCCAAAAAAAACATTATATTGGTGGATGAATTTTCACACATACTTTTATAGTCATCTGCGACGAAACAATTTATTTAAGTTTGTATTAAAAATGTGCCATATTTTGATAATTTACAAAATAAACCTAGAATACTGAATCACTTACGGAAAGTAAAGTATGGAACATCAACTTTGTTCTCATAACACAAAAGAGGAGTTGTCGAGAAAACGCACGTACACACACGCCAATATACACACGCACGAACACACACCAACAAAAAAGAAACCAACAAAAATGGGATATTTATATAATTTTTAACTCCAAATAGGTAATATGTATAAGTTTTGAGCAGGAAACTTTAATTATGCAGTATTGGGAATCTTCATGATATTTTGAGTATCCAACACTTATTAAGATTGTCATGTTCTACATATTTGTGGTGGATTTTCCAGTTATTATTGATTTTTTATTGCACCTTTCAAGTGCCGATGGGGTCGAATTGTTTGCTGTAGCCAGATAGTTTATATTATGAACAGTATGATTTAAATGTTTCAAATTTGCTCCAGGATATATTGGTCTTGCCTGCCAGCCAGTCAAGGAACTTTCTTCATTGTTCAGAGTCGAGAAAAAGGTAAATGTTGCTTATGTTATTAGGTTCCACGAGGAATTGTATCAATATTCTATACAAAAGCTGCAAACGATGCGAATATAACACTCAGTCTTAAATGCCATTATAACGTTATATTGAATGCAACACTCTCTCCTTGACGTTTGCTTTCTTTTAGCCTTTATTGACTACAACTGTTTAAAAAGGCTGGCTCTATACGCTAGAAATTGGAACTGAAGACTTGGTCTCAAATGGGACTGTTGTGCTTTTACTTAACGGAACGTGGCTAAATCCGCTTTTACCTTAATATCGTAAATATACTTATGCTTTCTCACTAAATTTCTGTTTCGGTTCATTAGTAGCAATATTGATGCATGCACCTAATAATTTCTATACTTTATGATGGGCAATCACTTATAACAAAAAAGAGTTAAACACAGCAAATTATGCTTTGAAAATATCTTAATACGCCGCTTATTAAGGATATTGCTTTTAACAATTTACCCGGGATACTCTCCTCTGTTTAGACTATGCCACTGCATATTAAAGCTTTTACATAAGTCCGACATATCAGTTGCTATAACAGTAATTTAAGACGCATCAATCAATGATGTGTTTATTTAAATTGAACAGTTGGAGCGTTAAAAAACTTTTTAAAGGTGCAATATATAAAAGTGTTTGTTATTGGATTCTCACATATAATTTGATTATATGACATTCGATGAAATATCATAGAAAAAAATAACTTACGGTTTCCATGAATTTTTTGTTCGAGAGCATATTTCATATACATGACTTGGCTCCATCTTTTCTTATTCTTTACCTTAACAAATTAATTAAGTTAAGGTCATTATTTATAGAAATTGTTTAATGATTTTTTTTTTCATACAGCATAAAAAAGAACGGTAAAGTTAATTTCAGTTTCGAAATGTTAATGCAATTTAATTCTATAATGCAATTAAATTATCAAAAAATTAAACATAAGAAAATATTAAATAACCATTTAAGGCATTGCAGAATAACGTATGCTCAATATATTGTGTATTTTATGAAATAATATAAGTTACAAATTATTATATGAAAATATTTCAAAGATAGGAACATTTTTCTCTTCTTTTTTAACCTTTTTCATGAAATTGAGTATATAAAACATGGAAATGAGAATCTTCATTTCTTTATCTGCTCAGCTCAACAAGAAAAGGCTTTAAAGCTTAAGATGATAATAATACAACATAAATAGTTTACCTTAAATTTGTCTTTGAGATGGATTGTGCAATTGGAGCCCTCGGTTTGATCACAAGGCAGTCGCAAGCTAAGCGACAAACCATAAGGTGTTTCAATTTTTGTAAAAAATCCTACGTTCGTCCCTAGAAGTGTTAAAATTGAAGTTTTCAAATTCCATAAGTCAATTTATTCGACAATTATGACCTTAATTACGTAAATAGTCTAATGTTATATTTGATTATGACGCCAAAACAAATTAAATAAAAATCAGATTTCTGTTCCGCCCAAACAAAATTCAAGCGTGATTTATACTCACAATTCTTTAGATGTTTAACAGTCTCTATACAAATTGAAGTAAATTAATCAATAAATTCATAAACAAATAAATAAATTATTACATAAATAATATATAAAAAAACAGCAGAAATATATAGACTTTCATCAAGTCGGAATTTCCCTTTTACATTTTGTATATCAATTAAAGAAGATAATAACAGTAAATCAATATAATGTTTATAAGACATCAAATACTAAAATTGTATAAGGTGCTTATAGTTATTCAGGTCTATTCAGGTTTATATGCTTATAAACGTTGACTGTTTAGTTCGAATGACTCTATAGAAATTAAACCATAGTTGTTTTTTTATAAACGCTGTTGCAAGTATAACTATAGAGGAATAGTAAAGTTAAACTAATAATAATAATTCCCAACCAAACACTTCTTCAAAAAGCACAACTAGCTGAAGCAGATATTCCGTCGGCTTTCCTGCCTTTACAGCACCATCGAAGAAAATGTGAAACTCGATTTTAAGCCCTTTAGTCCTAAAAGCGTGGTTGTTAAATAATCTGAAAGATTCGAGGAGTTGTTTCATCTCTTGGTCGTCCTAAAAGGTAATATACTCAAGTTAGCAAACTTTTTTTAATGCTTAGGTACACATTGCTTGTTTTTTTGTTTTTTTTTGGGGGGGTGGGGGGGGGAGTTACGTCACATCGACACAGTATAGGTCATATCGCGACGTTCCAGCTTTACTGGTGGAGGAAGACCTCAGGTGCCCTTCCGTGCATTATTTCAGGCACGAACGGGCACCTGAGTAGAACCACCGACGTTCCGTAAGCTAGCTGGGTAGCTTCCTCACATGACAGAATTCAAAGTCCCTGTCGGGATTCGAACCCACAGCGGTGAGGGGCAAGTGGTTTGAAGTCAACGACCTTAAACACTCGGCCACGGACGCCCCTAAACACTTTGCTTGTTAATGATATCGTAACTATACCATCTTCCTAATGCATTTTTTTGCAAACTGAGATAATGGTACATTTGAACGGCGCATCTGTCTGGGAAATGTAAATTGATACGTTTTCCAACATAGAGGGGTCCTACAATGTGTGCGAAACATCCAGGTTTTGTGAAATTGTTGTACGATTGTATGATAAATGCTAGAAGATAGATAAACAATATAATTTGATATAAAAAAACGTACCTCTCTGTACATTGTGGTGCATATAAAAAGTTTCGAGTTTTTGGCCGTTTGCAATGGTTGCAAATATCTGTTTTCCTTGTCGGTGATTTCATTTCTTCTTGCTAACATTATCCAGTGTTCAAGTAGAGCAGAGTTATACATTGGCGTCCAAAATAACTGTTACAAAATAATTATTTTATTGATTATATGGTATTATAATTTTAGAAACTGTGACCATCGTCTTTAAAAATTAATCTTTAGTTTATAGATATATCCTTAAAGTTCGTATTTAATAATGATTGGGCATCTTAGGCTTTATTTAACAAATGGATAATTTATCAATACTTAGGCGATACCGTTAAGACTACCTAGGCTGCTTTACTCTGACTGGCTTAATATTCACTTATAATTACCTGATCTTCCCTCAACATAATATTGAAATCACTTTCGAATAAAATCCACCACGTCGAAAAGGCCTGTGCAAGGAAAAATGCCGTCGTGGCTATCACTACGAATGTTATACTTTTCGATGATGTGATAGTACAGGTCAACTTGTCCTCGTTATCTATACAAAACAAGAAATATGTGTATTAGAAATTTATCTAGGCAAATATAGTACCATTAAATTGGAAAAATTTCTTTGTTTGTTTTAATGAATATTGTCTATGCTCATTTAATATAAAAGAACAATGTAAAATTAATAAAGGCCCATGATGGTAAACTCAAAAAAGAGAGAGAAAAATAAAAGAAAATGTAACATGTCCGGTCTGATTGATCATGTTCATGTAATTCCATCCTTTATTGAACACGATCTGAATGCTTCTCAATCCAGTGTGGTATATTTTAAATTCTAACTTTGTTAAATTTGTCAAGGTATATATTTTTCAAAAATAAAAAATGGGTTAGAATCCCGACAGGACTTTGGATTCTGTCCAGCTAGCTCACGAAAACGTCAGTGGTTCTATTTAGGTGCGCGTTGGTGCCTGAAATAATGCACGTAAGGGCACCGGAGGTTTTCCTTTCACCAATAAAGCTGGAACTTCGCCATGTGACCTATATTTTGTCGGTGTGACATAAAACAGCTCAATCAAACAAACAAATTGAAAAGAACAGAAAAGAGCCTGATTAAAGTCCAAATTATGTAAAAGTCAGAGAATGTTGGCTGGAGACAACCATTTTCACCCTTTCACTTACCTGACAGAAGAAGAAAGAAGCTGCATGTGTTCTCAGCTGCTAACATGAATACAGAAATAGGGGTTGCTAACGCAAGTGGTATTGAGAAACCAAGTCTATGTGAACGTGTTTTACAAGCGATATAGCCGGCGAAATAGCCTGAAATATGTATATGAATCACTTAATTTCTTATATAGGTATAATAGTTTGACAACCGGACAGACAATTATTAAAAATAAAATGAGTTTGTAATTTAATGAGATACATGTAATTCGAATTTAACACATAAAAATATTTATTTCAAAGTTTAAAGAGATTTTGAAGAGTAAGAATTAAATACAATAGCTCCGTAGATGAGCAAAAAGATCTCTACAAACACTTCATATTCTCTTGAACTTAATTTTATGATTTTGTTAAGAAATATAATATACGATACTTTCCGACAAAACCTGATGCTATGTGTGAGTAGAAATAGATGAATTGCTCCTGACTACACTCAAACAACGTTATCCATGCATTCTTATAATGTAAATTAAAAAACTGAAAGAACAGAAAAAATTATTGTGTAGCCAAAATTTATAACAGACAATTAGAACACTTTCATTTACAGTTTAACACTGATCCCCAAAAACGAAAAAAGAAATTGAATAATTTTTGATATAACCTATATTGCATATGTTTATTATTACTTATGTTACGTATACTTTTCCAAAAAAAACCCCAAATAAAAAAAATTTAACGTTGATATAGTTTTGATTATTTGTCCTATTACTATTAAAAATATAATTTTAATTTTTTTTTTAATGTTCATGACACCAAGTTAAAATTTTCAGTTTTTTTCCCAAACCCCCAATTTTTCCAGTATAATATTTTATTGTGCAAAAACCCAAAAAATAAATTTTTTTGAAACTCGTAGTTTTTGTTTTTAAAAAAAGGTTTTGTTATCGCAATTTCTATTAATATAAATATTATTACTACATAATAATTCATGCATCCTTGTGTAAGTATATCAATTACATAAAGCTGTACGAGCTTGGATTTAAGTAAGAACAAATTAAGATTTTTTTGTACCTTTTTCAAAATGTTCAGGAAAAGGTGATATGTGTCTTACAAACAATATCAGCATAGAAAATCCGAAAGTTGATAGCAGTTTTACTAAAGACATTAGCGCAGTTAATTTCCATGTTGTGTTTCTTAATGTGTTTTGATTTATTGTTTGACCTAATGAATATGGACTATCTTCAGATTGTATGCTACTACTTGATGCACATGGACCATCATTTCTTCTGCTCTGAAAAGTGTAATAAATCATATTTCATTTCATAAAATTTGGCTGTTTTTGTTGACATTCTGTTATCAATATTCATCGCTGAGCACAGAATCACGTGTTTTTATATTTTTGTTTGCAAGTTGTGAAAATTATGACCATATATATGAACATTCTTTGATAAATTATCCAAACATTGTCTTTGTTTTGTACTAATTCATTCAATTTGTTATTCTATTTGGATCTCATAGCTTAACAATGACTTTATTAAACAACATGTCACTATATAAATAAGTTATTGCTTTAAAATAAACAAATGCATACCTACCTCGGTATTGATCTCCTTTTCACTTTTCGCCATGTATTTTTGAACTGAAGGACTCCAAGCTATAGACAATAGTATGACACTTATAGGTGCTATTATAAGTGTTCTTAATGAAGTGTGTAGCAACATTAAAATTGTACAAACTATTCCAACAACCATACACACGAGAGCATACACGCTAGTAAATTTACAACAACAATTTTGCTGTAGATTTCGCGCACTGAAGTTAAGTCTTCTGATGTTCCAAATGGTGTTAAGAAGTGGACAAAGTATCACACAGTTCATCAACAGAATAGCATGATAAATTTTACTGAGTCCTGGTATATAAAAGATAAATAAACAAAGACCCACTGCTTCCATAATGCTCACCATCGTCTGAAATACAAACTTATCGGTTACAGAAAAAGAATTGTAACTAAATTATCCAATACCAAACATTTTAACTACATGTATTACCTTTGCGAAGCCCAGAAGTGATTAAAAGAGCTTCACTGAGGTCAAAAGCTTAAAGAAAATTGGAAATTCTTATTTACTTAGATCAAGTGAGGCATTTAAAAAATGGGAAAATCTGCTATGGATATAAAGAAATTCACTCAAAATTAAATTGAATATCGATATGTGTATGCGGTTCGTGTCCCAATTTGAGCAAAAATCGTTTCAACATTTGTTTTGGTAATTTTTCACAAAAAAATGATTATTCTTTAAAAAGAGATAAGGAATTGATCTGAAAATTTGCACATTAATTATCAGTCCTAAACTACATCGAGTGGTTCAAAAATCACGGAGGAATATTTCTGGTCCCTTCATGTCAATCGCAAACAGATATTCCGCCGAAATAAAACTGGTTAGCTTCCATAGGTAAGTTTTTAGTTTTCCATGCAAAGCCATATGGAAATGTTAGCATAGCTTTCATAACAATGATTATTTCATGTAAGGTAATTAATCTTAAAAAGGAACACTTTAAGATGTATGTGTTTTTTAAACAAACCTTTCGCAGTCGGTAAGGCAATTATTTTTCTAAATACTTGATAAGTATGCAAACATGTATATAAAAATTATAAACATTATATCAAATGGATGCATCACAAACCATAAAATATTTGACACTTAATGAACAACATAAAATAACGGTACCTGATAAGTTCTATACTATTCTCATTATTTTCAACAAAATTAAATTCAAATATTGTGTAAATAAACTAAGTAAGTTTTTAGGGCATAAGGATAGGGCAAAGAATGTCGGCATTGTTTTACAAATTGACCCGGCTCCATATTGTTGACTAACTCTTAGTTTTAGTGTATACACCCCCCCCCCCCCCCCCCAAATGAACCTTTCTTAAGCGAATGATGGATCCAGTTCAGAAGTGAAGCAGGATAAACATTAAAATGCTTTTTAACATTTTTTTTATGTTCTGATTTAAATTGAGAAAGTATTCTTTTTTTTTTTTTATAAATTATATTCATTTGAATAGAAATCATAATTTGAATGAGGAAATATATTTGACAGTATAACACTGAGCAGAAACTTATAACCCCCTTTTGTATATAATGGGAATCGTGTAAATACCGTTAAACAATGTATCAAAATATAACTTGTGATTTTATTTTTTTTTTTTTAAATACGGAAATGAGGAAATTCCTCATTCACTAAAGTTTTTTAACATTATTCCAACTTGGTTTAACATAGCACCCTCAAATCTAAAAATCGATAAGACAATGATTTTTTTTTTCTTTATCGAAGACGAAATTAAAATTGGTCGGATCGGAAATCAGTTTCTTATCGTGCACATTGTTTCGCCAAATGCATGGTACTAAAATGGTTAAATAAATTTCATGACTTTAACGGCGTCAAGTTAAAGTTAGCTGTTGTTTTGTTAATATTTTTTATAGAAATCTTTTGTTACAAATTGCTTAGAGGTTTATTGGTTATATGCAGTGTATATTACATGTATATTTAGACCCTATATCTTTCAGTCATCTTTTGTTGTGATGAATTATGCTTAAAACATATATCTGTAGATGAAATAACAGGACAGTCTTGGAAAAGATAATTGGCCGTGAAACACATTCAGTATGTAGCACCAAATATAAACATTCTATTTTTACCAAATGCTAGACTTAACACGTCTAAAGCAATGCTTTTATAAACCATGAAGTCAATATCTCTAGTCATGCTTTTTATAATTTCAAACGTATATCTTGCAGACGTCATTCAGGGTTATCTCACAATTAGCACGAATTCAATTCCCAGCAATAACAGTAATTGAAACAAGAGGGCCATGATGGCCCTGGGGTCGCTCACCTGAACATAGGCCCCCAGGGCCGGGCCAGTTTAAACCAAAGGGCTTTTATTTGAAAAAACTTGGAAGACACCCATTAAAAGATATTTCATGATGTTAAGTTTTTACTATACACAAATAATGAATAACAATGACTTTTGCCCCCTCCCCCCTCTCCCTGGCAGGGCCAATTTTGACCCAAGGGCTTTTATTTCAACAAACTTGGTAAACATCCATTAGAACATGTTTCATGCTAAATATCTTAGCTCTAGCTCTTTTGGTTCTTTAATAGAAGATTTTTTACTTTTTACTCTATGTATATAGGGAAAATCAATAACCCCTGGGACAGGGCCAATTTTGACCCCAGGGCTTTTATTTGAACAAATTTGGTAGACACCCATTAGAATATGTTTCATGCTAAATATCTTAGCTCTAGCTCTTTTGGTTCTTTAAAAGAATTTTTTTAAAGTTTTTACTATATGCATATAGGGAAAATCAATGACCCCGTGGGGCGGGGCCAATTTTGACCCCAGGGCTTTTATTTGAACAAACTTGGTTGACACTGATAAGAAGATGTTTCATGCTTAATATCTTAGCTCTAGCTCTTTGGGTTCTTTAAGAGAAGATTTTTTTGAGTTTTTACTATATGCACATAGGGAAAATCAATGACCCCCTGGGGCTGGGCCAATTTTGACCCCAGGGCTTTTATTTGAACAAACTTGGTAGACATCCATTAGAACATGTTTTACGCCAAATATCTAAGCTCTAGCTCTTTGGGTTTTTTAGAAGAAGACTTTTTTAAGTTTTTACTATATGCATATAGGGAAAATCAATGACCCCCTGGGGCGGGGCCAATTTTGACCCCAGGGCTTTTATTTGAACAATCTTGGTAGACACTTATTAGAAGATGTTTCATGCTTAATATCTTAGGTCTAGCTCTTTGGGTTCTTTAAAAGAAGATTTTTTTAAGTTTTTACTATATGCATATAGGAAAAATCAATGACCCCCTGGGGCGGGGCCAATTTTGACCCCAGGGCTTTTATTTGAACAATCTTGGTAGACACTTATTAGAAGATGTTTGATGCTTAATATCTTAGGTCTAGCTCTTTTGGTTCTTTAAAAGAAGATTTTTTTAAGTTTTTACTATATGCATATAGGGAAAATCAATAACCCCCTGGGGCGGGGCCAATTTTGACCCCAGGGCTTTTATTTGAACAAACTTGGTAGACATCCATTAGAACATATAAAATGCCAAATATCTAAGCTCTAGCTCTTTGGGTTTTTTAGAATAAGTTTTTTTTAAGTTTTTACTATATACATATAAGGAAAATTAATGACCCCCTGGGGCGGGGCCAATTTTGACCCCAGGGCTTTTATTTGAACAATCTTGGTAGACACTCATTAGAAGATGTTTCATGCTTAATATCTTAGGTCTAGCTCTTTGGGTTCTTTAAAAGAAGATTTTTTTAAGTTTTTACTATATGCATATAGGGAAAATCAATGACCCCCTGGGGCGGGGCCAAATTTGACCCCAGGGCTTTTATTTGAACAATCTTGGTAGACACCGATTAGAAGATGTTTCATGCTAAATATCTTAGTTCTAGCTCTTTGGGTTCTTTAAAAGAAATTTTTTTTAAGTTTTTAGTATATGCATATAGGGAAAATCAATGACCCCCAGGGGCGGAGCCAATTTTGACCCCAGGGCTTTTATTTGAACAAACTTGGTAGACATCCATTAGAACATGTTTCATGCCAAATATCTAAGCTCTAGCTCTTTCGGTTTTTTAGTAGAAGATTTTTTAAGTTTTTACTATATGCATATAGGGAAAATCAATGATCCCCTGGGACGGGGCCAATTTTGACCCCAGGGCTTTTATTTGATTAATCTTGGTAGACACTCATTAGAAGATGTTTCATGCTTAATATCTTAGCTTTAGCTCTTTGGGTTCTTTAAAAGAAAATTTTTTTTAAGTTTTTACTATATGCATATAGGGAAAATCAATGACCCCCTGGGGCGGGGCCAATTTTGACCCCAGGGATTTTATTTGAACAATCTTGGTAGACACTCACTAGAAGATGTTTCATGCCAAATATCTAAGCTCTAGCTCCTTGGGTTTTCTAGAAGAAGATGTTTAAAATTTTTTCTTTTGGTTGCCATGGCAACCAGAGTTCTGCATGGAATGGAATTCTTTGAACAACTTTGTTAAGGCCTCACACAAGGAACATCCCTGTGAAGTTTCATTATGATCTGCCTTATGGTTTCAGAGGAGATGTCGTTTGAAAAGTGTGAACGGACAACGTACGACGGACGACGGACGACGTACGACGGACGACGGACGAAGAGTGATCCTAATAGCTTACCCTGAGCATATGCTCAGGTGAGCTAAAAACAAATTCTAATTAACATATTGATGAAGGTTAGAATCTTAAATGAAATATGACAATGTACATTTAATATAAAGCATATATTTGTTGATACCTGCCATGAATGTGATGTTATTTTATCCGTTGTTTTAATGATATAACATTAGTTATAAGTCGCAAATACGCCTGTCAGATTTTTCACAAATGCCTGATATTTACACCAGAGTAAAACTTAAAAAAAATATTTCAATGCATGTAGATGTTTGGCTCCAGACAGGCGTTTTCCTTTGATCTTTGTGATCGAAATATCTGGTTGATGTACTTCACACAACGTCTGTGGTAACAACGCCTAATGGCCGTGCACATATATGTTACGTTTTACTTATAGCAAATTTACTAACACAGATAACTCCGAATACGGAATAGTGTTTCTAACCGAAACTTAGTACACAGTCGGAATCAATGTGAATGAGAAGTACAGTGTGGAGTTAGAAACTGGATTGAAACAATTTGCAGTATGATATGTGAAATCGTAAATAAATCTAAAGTGTGGAACAAGTTTAAATACGAAACTTAAATGATTATTGTAATGACTATGTGATTTATAAGTTTATCTTTAGATATTCTGTTTTCATCTATTTTATGATTTGTGCCAACGATGCAATATTTCGATACGCTAAGTAGTCCAGTCTCGAGACTTTTCAAAACAGTGTACGTCTTTAGATAATTTATGCGTAAAACCAGCAGGACTCAGACGTACAATGATCACTGTTAAACATGAATGTTAATCAAATTCTGTACTGGAAATTCATTTCTGGTCTCTTATAATTATTTTCATTAGAAAACTCGTTACCTTGTTATGTAATTTTTCAAATAGCTAATGAGATAACAAAACTGAGTGTTGAAATTTTGAATAGACCCTTGACACTTCAAATTCCATTCAGCTTCACCCTTTGATATTTTACATGGGATAAATGTAAACCATATACTAAATATGTAAATGCTTAATCATGAAAGTAAAACAGCAACAAAACAACAACAAACACAAACAAAACACAACAAACAAACTAAAAACCAAACATTAACATGCTTACCGCAACTAACATTACTTTTCCCTTCGGCCATTTCCTATCTCTTCTTAAAACACCTCCCCACACTCCCCGAATCAAATTTATGACATGTGGAACGAGTGCTATTATTTGTAATAAAACGAACATTCTGCATCTTGCATCACGGTCGAGATAATCATTACTTGCATGCATAGCACCAGACAAAGCTAGCAGTGATATTTTGCTTTGTATCAAACATGCCAGGAACAGAAGTGCTATAACAATCGTTGATATCCATTTTATTGCAACTTCTGCACGCGAAGCTTTATGCTGATGGACATATCCCGGCATCTTTTACAATTTCAGTACACCTGAAATAAAAGATATTTCGACAAACGGTTGAATAACTTTTCGAGAATGTGACTAAGTTCAGCATTATATACAACGCAATCAAAGTCAAGGTATTAACAATCGTCTTTTACATCTTCAAGACTAAAGATGCAAAAATAACGGCACTTTATCAAACGCAAAAATGAATCAAATACCTTCCAATAAATCAGTATTTAAACTTTTTTAAAGCTTAAATATGATTGTATATGAATAAACTTACTCAAAATAACAAGTGACAGCCAAATCTACCTTAACTAAATAAGCCATGTTTATGTGTTGTTTTTTTTTAATTTTAAATTATTTATTTAATTTAGTAGATTTCAACAATGAGTTGGCTTTGACATTTCATTTCTTTGACTTTTGAGTACAGAGCTATAAGCAATCTTTCAAGTGTGAGATAAAGGTTGATAACAAAGTCAGCATTTTAATTTGTGTTGTCATCCCTTTGTAGCAGGAACGTATATCATAAAACAAGATAATTCATATATCGGACAAATTCGATAGAATCAAGGTCATTATGATATAAACGTTATCAGTTAATAGTGTTTCAATAATGGTCCAGATATTTGAATTAAAGATAGAAATGTCATTAGTTATCTCATATATACTGTTAGGTATCTTTTACATCCTTTTACAAAAAAAAATTCTAAAATAAAAAGCACATGTATCTGCTATGTTTCGCCAAAGACAACCTCATACCATCTGCTTTTTTTTGTCTTTTTTTCAAATTCATTTATTCAGTAGATTAATGTAAACTAATAAAGTTAGTATTTGTCCTGTGATTTTTTAACCCATTACACGATATACACACTTTTTTACGCCTTTTTCACATCCCCCTTTTCTGTTGTCTCAAATGGTGAAGAAATGCCTTATTTAGGCCCCTAAAACTTGTTCTTGTTTGAGGAAGTGACCAATTTTTTCGGCGCGCCCCTCTATCCAAAAGATACATCAAGGGGTTGCCGGAAGGGGGCTGTGCCCCCTTCTGTTTGGGGGGTGAAGATTGGCGTCAGTCCCCCTCATCGGACTTGTGAGAGGATAAAAATGACCCCAGGTCAATCATAAGGTAACGTGTAACCAACGCTGAAAAACCTTTGCCGCTATCTCTACCCACTGTAAAGTTGCAACACTTTGAAATCAATTTTGATGTAAAGAATCAACGCAAAATAGTGATTTTTGGCAATTTTGAGATGTCCCCTCGTTGCCATGTTAACAGGAAATTTAAGAATGGTCCAGTTAACATTTGTGCCAAGTTTGATCAGTATTGAAGCAGTTTTCATAGTTTTATAGCAATTGGAACTTGTAACTGGAGACTTTATTCAATGAAAACAGCCATTTTCACAAAATGCTCATGCAGTTTTGGGTTAAGTAGCATGCCTCCAGATTCATGCCAATTTTTATGAAAGAAATTTTAATTGTATTTAATAGTAAAATATTGTGAAGTGAACAGAGAAAATGATTTACAGATTGCAATCCGCACTTACAATCTACGATAAATACCAAAGAGAAGTAAAAATATGCGAAAAGAGCCCTAACACATACACGAAATGATTATTACTGCAAAATCAATTATAAGTCGCACATAACATGTAAATTAATATTTGAATCCTGATAAGTTTGACTGATCTGGAGACATGCAGCTTTAGCAATAACATATTAACAAACTTTATATTTGTCATTTGATGCCGATGAAAAAAATATTCATAAAAAATGGAATTGAATAAGATGGGCAATAAGAAAGATACAATATCTCAGTAGATGTAATCGATAGAAAGCAATAAAGTTTAAAGGCTAACAGGGCATTGAAATATTTTCTTTGCAAAGGCATATAGATTAGTGGTTAAATATATTTGAATTTGCACGATAAAAAAGAATCAGGAATCGTGACTGAAACGAATTGATGCGAATAATGTGGTTCACCATCTTACTTTTTGAGGTAGTGAGATTTCTTTTACTCCTTTATGTTACTTTCTGATGAAGATAACTATAAATCAAGAATAGATACATTTCTTTACTCTTCGATCGTACATTTTCAGATCACAATTCATTATTGTAAAAGTAAATAATTACTATAGTAAAGAAAGAGGAACAGTATGAATTTTTTTAAATGATATTTACCCTACATCAAAGATGTCCGACCAGCATGTAAGTTGAAATCGTGATGTATAATACTATATTTGGAGATTCAATCTTTGTCATCTTTATATACAATAACGACTACTTCTTATCATACTTAGCCATGTCCTAAGCTTGTGATATTAATGGCTTATGTAATTTCTGTGTATGATTACAGGGTATGTGGTACATACATAGGCCAAGAAAACAATTTTGTCATCATTAAAGGGACTCCACTGAAGTTTTTTGACATGGCGGGACTGGAAATAATTTTTTGAGATTATTACTCCATTTGATGTAGATCTATACTAATAACTTATGTGCAAAATTTCAAATCATAAGCTTGTTCCGTTTTACCAGAATAATTATAATAATAGTGAAAACTGACCCAAAATTGAAAAGTGCTTTCAATGTATTTCTTCTATATCTCTTGGTAATATTTTATAAATATTTATGTTTTAAGTGCTTATGTTTATTTATGTGAAAAATTAATTTTCATGTTAACCTCAGTGCAGTTCCTTTAAACATTTAATTTTGAAGCAACATAATTATAAATATTATACATTTGTAAATTCCTTATTTCGTCAGCTTATCTTTATCTGGGAGTACTTTAGTTTCATAAACTTTCATAAATTATGATTATTTGATTATTTTACACCTTAGGACTTTGGGAGCGGAAAGTCGTTACACACTTCTGTCCTTTGTTCGTTCGTTGCTGTTCGGACAAACATTTGTTGTTTTAGGACAAATAGACTTGTAACATCAAAACTACTTTCTATAATTCAATTCATAACCCTAAATTATAGTTTGGAGTTCATTCAGTACCTGAAAAGATTATTTTGATATAAAGTCAATGAGAAGTCAAAATAGGTTACCGAAGGGATATCAACATTTGGACTTTGCCAAATATCTTCAACACTCTTGAACAACTTATATCAGTACTTTGCGCATTTGAAGCACATATCTTGTCCATACCATAAACAAAATCTGACATTTTTATCTTTCTTAACGTATTAAGTATTTCCACAACCAGCTCTTTCAAGGCTGCATATGAACTAATTGATTAAAGTCAGGCTAATGTGTACAGTTAAAGGCATTGATAAACCGATGATCTGAGTATCATATGAGTCGAGTGTATTACGATAAGTTAGTATAATCTAGAATATCTAGTTCGTATAATATCTGATATTATATTTGCAATTGTTATAATAATTATCTATTCAAAATAGAAAGAATCACACAATCTTTTTACCACTCAAATTCCTTGCAGTTAAAAATATTGTATTTTAATGAAGGATAAATCATTTCAACAGTAGAGCCAAATATGACTGAACGGTTTAAGACCTCAATCGCTCGTCTTTTCATACTTAAATGTTTTATTGCATTGTAATTATGGTTGGCAAATATTTTTGATATTCCATCTTTTAATAGTTACCACTGATGTGTATGAAGTATAATAATTGAAATCATTAAGGTCGTGGTTCAATTTATCATGAACATTTATGAAAATATTTGTAGGTAAAGTGATCAATATCTCAATATGTTTGAAACAATACACGGAGGTGTCACGTTATTCAAAATTAAACTGCCAATGCAGCAAATGTCTATGAAACAAGCAAAGCAAACGTCACATAATTCTATTCAAGTTTTAATAACAAGATCAAAATCTGTATTGATTACCCAATTCAGCACATATACCTAAAATCTTTTTTGAGTAACAAAAACACGTAGAACCGTCGTGTAACTATGAAAATTAAATAGCAATACCAAACACTTGATAGTTGTGTGTATATGAATTGTGAAGAACTTATAGCTATGCAACTTCAAATTGGTAAGTCCTCTCTTAAAAAGTGGAAGAATACTGTGATGGGTCGGTCCTTGTGTATTATTGTCATTTTTTCTTGTCATTTCGATAACATATAAATTAACATTGCAAATGACCAGTACATGACCCTGATTAATTTAGAGGTCAGCGGTTATTAAATGTCGAGGTCACCGTTTCCTTAACAGCCAACTCTGTGTTGTTGTAAGTTTATCTGTTCTGATTGGTAATGGGGAGAAGATGAACTCGTTTGATACTTTGTATATTCCTTATCAATTGCTTGAGAAATAATAAGAGCATATATGTATGAAGCTCTCCCGGGAAATTGCCAATGTCCAATTGATTTTAGGTGAAAGTCAGAATGACTTGATTTACTCGATCAATTACTTAAACAATTTGAAAATTTATTATTTATCATAATTATTGTCATAATATGTACTGAACAAAATCACAACTAGGCCCCTTAGGTTATGCACAAATAAGGTAGTTTTGTGATATAATAAATAAAGTAATCGTGACTTACCTAAAAGTTGAAGTAAAACTAGTGTTCTACTGTAATTGATCCATTTGGGTTTAAAAAGATACACACGTGATTTTATCAGCTGTTCATACATCAATTTAGAGCATACATATGCAAAATGATTATCTACAAGGGTACTGATAGTAGCAGAATAATAATTGTCACTGTCACTGTGGGTAATAGATAATTATTAATCCAAATAAATAGAGAACAATGCTCTAGTTCTGATAAGATTAAGAATAGTAAATCCAAAATAGAATGGTTACAATTTTTATCGTTTTTTATTTACATATTGAGTTATACGCTGAAGGTAAATATATAGCGATTTAAATGACATACCTTGTATACCTAATTTGCAACAGAAGCTAATCATTTATTATGATGCATGTGATCATTAAAGAATACTGGCAGAAACAAGTATATTCAAACAATATTCGCACAAATCTACACCTTGGATCGGAAATCAGATAATTTGTGGTTGAGACGTAGTAATTTTAACAGCATATACTCCGTTTTACCTATATAGA